ACACAGATGCACGCGCACGCAACGCAAGCGTAGCGCACAAGCACGGACGGCCGAACGAGAGGGTGGCGCGCTGCGCTGCATTCGAATAACGTGCGTGCTTGCCCGAGAGGAAAAAGGTAGACCAAAAAAGTGGCCACAGGCCGCAGCGCAGACGTGCATGGGACCGACGGGACGGGACCAATGCAAGCTCGTGGTCCACGCCGAATTTTTTTAAATAATATTTTTTCATGATTAAATACAAAATTAGAAGCTGTTTAAAAAAATGTGACATGTACAATCCTGTTAGCAGCTCACCAGCCGATAGGCATACGTGGGCAGCTGCACACCCGGAAAACCAAGCCTGGCGGCAATTGGAGGGCCAACAGAACCAGTCGGTAACAGTAGCACACCAGCTGATAGGCCCACCTGGCAGCTGCACGCCCGGTCCAGTCGGCTAGTGCGTGGCCGACAGGTTATAGCAGTCTAGGTTTAGTACTGAGCCGGGAGAAAGTAGGCCTCCTGTATACACGCCCACAGAAAAGAACTTCAGTCGTGCTCATCACTCAGTCAGTTTAGCAAGCTTAGGTACAAGTATATACTCCATATAAGTATACTAAAAACCTGGCTCTTGGATCCTCATCATACATACACATTCGTCCCCTGCATGCCACGAGGAACCACTCGATCAGTGCCAGACAGGTTATCGAACTTTGACTTGACTCCCACAGGCTGGCTCGGCCCCTTGGATGCACTCATGATCTGTCATCCAGAATCTCCAATGCCATGTTGTCCTCCAAATAATAATACTCCAAACATTTCAACTATCTATATTTTATTGATAGGAGTTGCATGATTTGTAATAACACCAAGTAACAGAGCATCTCCTAATGATGCTCATATCATATTTGCATATACATATGCTACTACCATGCTCCAGTTCATTCAGTAAGTGCCTTGAATAGTAATATACTCCCTCCCAAATTGTAAGACGTTTGACTTTTTTGGCGTCAAGTTTGACCACTCGTCTTATTCAAAAAAACTTATGCAAATATAGTCAAATTTAAGTCATTCTTGAAGAATTTTTATTAATAAATCAAACCACGATGAAAGAAGTGATATTTTACATAAAATTTTGAATAAGACGAGTGGTCAAACTTGGTGTCAAAAAAGTCAAACGTCTTACAATTTAGGATGGATTGAGTATAATGCTAGCTAGATCTTCAAATAATTTTATTTTACACCTCCTGACACGTATCGATGTCAACGGTGAAGTGCTCATGTATGTATGTACTACGCACTTTATGATGATCCATGCATCAACATTAAAGCTATAGAATATTTCTAATTTTCTTCTTTCTTTATTTTGTTTCTGCAATATAACATGCGATTCAAGCATGACAGATCTTGTTTGTACTCATGTTGAGATCCGCTCCATCACGAGTTCAGGACCCAATGCAAACTGCAAAGCTGCGATTGGAAGCATTATCATTTTTGTTATATGTATTTTTTAAAAAGACACGCTATATATCTAGCAGTATAAATAAACAGATAATATTAACAAAATGCCTCGTCTTCTCTTAAATTTAGTTTTTTTATCCAAGTGGGGTCATTGGGTACAATACTGTATGTATACATATTTGAATATCATGTATGAGAGGGTGGTTATACATTACTGCAACAAGAAAATAAGAAATGTTTACCACCACGTACGGCGGTGCATGTCCGGCGGCGGGACACGTAATACGGATACGGATGCCACGTACGGGCGCACCACACATTTCTCGATCACCTATCGTACGTATAGAATGTGTACTAGATAGTGCATGTCGTGGCCAGGGGTCCAGCCCGGTTGAGCAAATTCAAAGGCTGCATGCAGCTGCACGCACCAGCACCAGCACATAGATGCATGCGCACGCGACGCAGGCGCAGCGGACAAGCACGGCCGACCGAACGAGAGGGGGCCGCGCTGCGCTGCATTCGAATAACATGCGTGCTTGCCCAAGAGGAAAAAGCTAGACCAAAAAAGTGGCCGCAGGCCGCATCGCTGACGTGCATGGGACCAACGGGACGGGACCCAACGCAAGCTCATGGTCCGCGCCGATTTTTTTAAATAATATTTTTTGATGATTAAATATAAAATTAGAAGCTGTGTAAAAAAAATTGACGTGTCGGCAGCTCACCAGCCGAGAGGCATACGTGGGCAGCTGCTCGCCCGAAAAACCAAGCCTGGCGGCAACTGGAGGGCCAACAGACCAGCCTAGGTTTAGTACTGAGCCGGGAGAAAGCAGGCCTTTTTATACACGCCCACAGAAAAGAACTTCAGCCGTGCTCATCACTCAGTCAGTTTAGCAAGCTTAGGTACAAGTATATACTCGATATAAGTATACTAAAAACCTGGCTCTTGGATCCTCATCATACATACACATTCGTCCCCTGCATGCCACGTGGAACCAATCGATCAGTGCCAGACAGGTTATCGAACTTTGACTTGACTCCACAGGCTGGCTCGACCCCTTGGATGCACTCATGATCTGTCATCCAGAATCTCCAATGGCATGTTGTCCTCCAAATAATAATACTCCAAACATTTAAACTATCTATATTTTATTGATAGGAGTTGCATGATTTGTAATAACACCAAGTAACAGAGCATCTCCAAATGATGCTCATATCATATTTGCATATACATATGCTACTACCATGCTCCAGTTCATTCAGTAAGTGCCTTGAACAGTAACAAATAATGCTAGCTAGATCTTCAAATAATCTTATTTTACACCTCCTGACACGTCTCGATGTCAATGGTGAGGTGCTCATGTATGTATGTACTACGCACTTTATGATGATCCATGCATTAATATTAAAGCTATAGAATATTTCTAATTTTCTTCTTTCTTTATTTTGTTTCTGCAATATAACATGCGATTCAAGCATGACAGATCTTGTTTGTACTCATGTTGAGATCCGCTCCATCACGAGTTCAGGACGCAAAGCAAACTGCAAAGCTACGATTGGAAGCATTATCATTATTGTTATATGTATTTTTTAAAAAGACACGCTATATATCTAGCAGTATAAATAAACAGATAATATTTACAAAATGCCTCGTCTTCTCTTAAATTTAGTTTTTTCATCCAAGTGGGGTCATTGGGTACAATACTGTATGTATACATATCTGAATATCATGTATGAGAGGGTGGTTATACATTACTGCAACAAGAAAATAAGAAATGTTTACCACCACGTACGGCGGTGCATGTCCGGCGGCGGGACACGTAATACGGATACGGGTGCCACATACGGGCGCACCACACATTTCTCGATCACCTGTCGTACGTTGTAGAATGTGTACTAGATAGTGCATGTCGCGGCCAGGGGTCCAGCCCGGTTGAGCTGTTTCATCAAATTCAAAGGCTGCATGCATGCACGCACCAAGCACCAGCACACAGATGCATGCGCACGCGACGCAGGCGCAGCGCACAGGCACGGACGGCCGAACGAGAGGGTGGGCGCTACGCTGCATTCGAATAACGTGCGTGCTTGCCCGAGAGGAAAAAGGTAGACGAAAAAAGTGGCCGCAGGCCGCAGCGCAGATGTGCATGGGACCGATGGGACGGGACCCAATGCAAGCTCGTGGTCCACGCCGAATTTTTTAAATAATATTTTTTCATGATTAAATACAAAATTAGAAGCTGTTTAAAAAAAATGTGACATGTACAATCCGGTGGGCAGCTCACCAGCCGATTGGCATACGTGGGCAGCTGCACGTCCGACAAGCCAAGCCTGGCGGCAATTGGAGGGCCGGGAGGCCGACAGGGTAGCTCAGCAATAACAGTAGCACACCAGCCGATAGGCCCACCTGGCAGCTGTACGCCCGGTCCAGTCAGCCCGTGGGCGGCCGACAGGGTATAGCAGTCTAGGTTTCGTACTGAGCCCGGATAAAGCAGGCCTCCTGTATACACCCCCACAGAAAAGAACTTCAGTCGTGCTCATCACTCAGTCAGTTTAGCAAGCTTAGGTACAAGTATATACTCCATATAAGTATACTAAAAACCTGGCTCTTGGATCCTCATCATACATACACATTCGTCCCCTGCATGCCACGTGGAACCAATCGATCAGTGCCAGACAGGTTATCGAACTTTGACTTGACTCCCACAGGCTAGCTCGGCCCCTTGGATGCACTCATGATCTGTCTTCCAGAATCTCCAATGCCATGTTGTCCTCCAAATAATAATACTCCAAACATTTAAACTATATATATTTTATTGATAGGAGTTGCATGATTTGTAATAACACCAACACTACAACAGCACAGGGATACAGTAACACCAACTTGTGTTATTGTAGGTTGAAAAAAGTGTTACTAGATCTCTTAGTAACACATTTTTTTGTGTGTTCCAATTGGCTATGTTATTATAGATTGGTTTATTATAACACATCTACTTGTCTATAGGAACATTTGTCTAGTGTTACAATGATTTTTGTTGTAACATTTTTTTTCTATAGTAACACTTCACATTATGGTGTAATACATAGTTTGTAACACATTTATTTATCTATGGGAACATTTGCCTAGTGTTATAGTGATTGTCTGATGTAACACTTTTTTTTAGTTCTAGTAACACTTCTACATTATGGTAGAGCCCAGTATGGAACAAAGGAACACATGATTTGTAACACTTGTTTATATCTACTGTAACATATTCAGATTAGGAAACAAATATTTGTTTCACCTATATATGTGACACACGGATTATTATTGAATCACACAAACATGACACATTGTAAAATCACATAAACCACAAATTTCAATAATTATAACAAGATCCACATATAGTTGGATGATTTCAAACATAGTGCTTGTTCAGATTAAATCATAGTTTTTGTACATAACGATATGGCTCTAGAGAGCAAACACACATAGTCCATACTAGAAAGAAAAAATCAAGAACTAGCTAGGATTCATAAAGTCCATTGCTTCTTCTTCAATTATTCTTTGTACACATCGATGTAGGAATTCAACCATTAATCATTTGAACCTGCAAAGAAAATGTAAGTTGTAAGATTACAAATTAGGCCACATATGTACAATGATGTAAGTTAAGAAAGCTAGTTTGAATATACAAACATCGAAGGCCAAGCAATTGAGACTCCTTTGGCTTGAGCATCACCAATATTGTTGCACCCAGGCCTAGGCCTCACTAATGGCTCATCTTTTGCTATAGCATGATCGATACGCACTTTGTAGAATTGACTGCCTGTCTTAACTCCACCAACAATGGCTTCTGGATCAGTGCTCAAGAGAGTTGCATAGGCCACATTAGCCTTATTAGGATATTTTGAAGTCATTAGTAGCACCATGGACCCAACCTACATTAATTTGACATAATCTCTTAGTGACCAACAACCCTTAGTTGTACATCAAGATCATGCAATTAGAACAAGTGTATTATGTTCATCTACCTTCATTACAGGAAGTTGTTTAGGTGCTTGGCGCTTGTTGTATGTAACCTTGTCATGAGCCACCTCATGGTGTGCAATGGTCGTAGTCTCTCCAGGCCCTCCATGATGACCCTTACACATATAAAATGAAGTATGAAATATTAAGACAAAAATTCCTCTATAAATACTACAAAGTGTGGTTCATAGATACCTTTTGTTTCTTTGTTGTTTTACTTGTGGTGGATAAAAGTAGACTGTCATCGTCACTATATTCAGACTCACATGTTTCTTTATTCTAGTAAAGAGAAAAAAGACAGTAGCATGAGTTAATATAAAAAAATTCTTTGTGAATAAAATAGTATTAAATTCACAAGAAAGTGACTTTACCAATTCATCCATATGTTCAAGGAATCCATCATTCTGGTTGGGTGCAACACAGTGAACTCTCTAAAAATTTGAAACAATATTAAAGTCAAAAGACTAAATTAGGTGAAAACATGGAAAATAGAGCAAATACCTTTCTTTTAGAAAACACCGCTTGATTCTGAGAATTGTTATGATCACTCCTAGCACAATTTCCCTGGAAAAGAAATAAAGTTTGAGTAACACATTTCAATACGAAGTTATAAATTAAAATGTACATTGTTACCATTGTTGCTTCTTGGTTCTCATGGTGCCTTTGATTGTTTTTTAGTTCTTCAATAACTTTGTCTTGCATTCTAGAATGCTCTTTGAGTTGCCTTATTTCCTCCAACATGTGAGTCTCTACATTAGATGATGAGCCATCTAGTGAAACTATATTAATGTCCTTAAAATGGTGTGTTCTTTGACCATAAACTTGTTTAGGAACTGAAAGCAATCCCATGCCGTGCACTTGTCCAACTTTCTCTTCTCCCAACACCCGATGTAATGCATCACCTTCCCATGCAACTCCTCCCTCACAATTTTGTGCTAACTCTGGTTGTGTGTCTAGGAGATTTTCCAGTTCAACCTACAAGCAAGAAATCCGCACATTAGAAAACAGAAATAATTTTATATTTGCAAAAATTCTCATGTGCATGTAGCATACCACCGGTTCATTTATCCCTTTTCCCTTTTCTTGTGAGTTGCGAGGTAAACCTTTGCTCTATGTGGCTGCTTTTTTCAGGATCAGTTTGCCTCTGAAAAAATAGCAGTAAAGGAAAAGTAAGAAGAATCATATATAATTTTTTTTAAACAGAAGATGACTCACCATGTCCTCAGACCAACGAGCATAACTCTTTGTACCGGTTGTGTGTGTTGTCTTCTTCATTTGACAACTTATTTTGTTCTTCTCACTTAGGGTCTACAAGAAAAGTAAATTAATAGATAATGAACCATTATACATATAAAAATCAATAATGGTATAGATAGTGATAGTAAAAAAAGCCAAATAGCATCAATAATGGTGCCTTACTTGTCCTTCGCTGGACTTCCAATATTTTACTAGGGCCTTCCATTGATCTTCATCGATATCATTTGGACAACGCTTGTTCAAAACAGACTTTTTCTTCTTTGGATTAAATAGTGACTTTTTTAATGTTGCCTTGTATTTTCTCCAATCTCTTCCAATTGATTTCAATATCCATTTCTCACATGAATGAGGATATAAGAACATTGTCTAAAACAAGAAAGTCACTAATGAATGAATTTGACTTCATGACATGATAACAAGCATATATATACTTAATCTTATAAAAACATTATGTCTTGTAAAATTTAGCTAACCTAGATGAATTGAATTATGGTTTTGCATTGTTTTTCTTAACTTCTCTCCAATCTTTGGCACCAACAAGACAGTAACCACCATTTCTTGCTATGGTGCACAAAAATTGTCCTAAAAGGCCACCTTTGTCACACCCAATTTTAAGGATAAAATTGAATGCACTAAACTCATGTGTGCCTAGAGATCAGTCACACACACAAGCTGACAAATTATAAAAAGTATCATCACAGTGTATCTTACATCATGATTAATAACTTAACTTAGTCTTACACAACACAGCGGAAAATAAAAGACAGCTCTCTCGTGGAAGCTCCAACACAGGGATGGTCAACTGGTTGACCACAAGCCTAATAATCCTTCGGAAACTCCTCATACATGTTGTCATCTGTTACCCATCTGGGATTTTTATCCAAATATAGAAAGTAAACAAGCATAAGTACTTCCCGTACTTAACAAGTTAACATGGGGTTATGAAGCTCAAAAAGGTTGACACTGGTTTACTGTAGTTAGCACTTTTAGTAAGTCAAGATTTTATTATCAAGTTATGCTTAAGCTCCCGTTTAAACCCACATAATCAGGTATCAGAATCATTTGGATCATATTATCATGGTATTCCATCATAAATGAACAACAATAAGTAACCAATTATTCTGTGAGTTTTCTGGGCCGCTCGTGACCGTGAGCACGGTTGTTATAACAGTTTGTAACCCTCTGCAGAGGTTGTGCACATTCACCGCGAGTCGTGATTCCCATATGCCTGGGTTAATTGCTCCCATATCACTGCCAAGGTGAGCGGGCAGGGTACACTATGAAGCCATTTCATAGGTTTCTCTAACAAGTTAGGGCCGCTAGGTTTCCTCGGCAGGCAGATGTAGGAACTCCCCTTTTCTATGGCACATATCCATTGTGGCTATACACATAGGAACAGAGGCAGTCCTATACCCAACGTGGCAAGCCCCTTTTGCGCCATAAAGGTAACCTCTAACAAGCTAGAAAAGGTCCTATTACTGAGCTAAAGTCAGAGCCATATGACCCTCATGGTTGCACTGTCAGTCCCAGCTTTTGCCGACAGATAAGTCCTTGTGGAGGGCCGAGAGCATCATGATCGAAAGTCATTCGCTCCTTCGCCCTATAATTCAGTTGTTTAAAAGCCAATTTTACCTTTTTGTTTCCATAGAATTGTTATTCATTATGTAAATCATGTATAGTTTCATTGAGCGCTAGCAAACTACCCATATGCATATAACCCATAGGAGATCAAGGAATAGGATAATCAATCAATAGGATGTCCTTACGGTATCAAAATTAGACACATGCAAATGAGTAATTAATAAAGGTGAATAGGCATCAAGGTAGATCCCATGCTATACTTGCCTTGGCTAGCAAACTCCTGCTGGTCCTGCTGGTCGTCAAAGAACTCTTGGTCTCCAACGTTCTCCTCACCGTCTGAACACGACCAACACGGCAACATACAACATTCCAGGAACATTCATGCAAAGCAAACAATCCTATGGTTAGAATAGTACACCAACAGTATAGAAAACAAGATAAAATGCTTATGAAAAGAATCTATGTCTCGCTATGATCACGTCAACGCGAAGTTCACGAAAAACGGAGCTAAAACGCAAAAGTTATGATTTAAATGGGATTTCCTATAGCAATTTATTTAACTAAATCTAACCTCAAAATTTAAATGTTGCAAACAGGGTTAACAGTGGTATTAACATGTAGAGAACTTAATTACGAACCTAACAAAATTTGAACGGTCAAATCGGAGCTATAACGACGATTTTATAAGCAAAACAATGCAATGGCATTTCTATAAATACTGAAAACGTATTTTGGACTAAAACAGTATATTTTACGTTTTTAAAAGGAGAAAGCGTACTCAGGAAATGTGTTATGGACTGCGGGTTAGGATTTAGAAAAGCTCAGGGACTCCTTAGCAAAATCACCCGCGAAGGGGTATCGGCTTATGTGAGCCGTTGGATCAAGAACGGACGGCTCGGATTAGATCTGGGGAAAAGAGGAGCCGGCCGGAACAGTGGCTCCGGTGGTGGCGCAACCATGGCCGGCGGCAAGGAACATGCCGGCGTGCACAGTTCAGTGGTTGCGGGCCACGGTTCAAAGAACCGAGGACACCGGGAGAGCGAGGGGGTGAAGGGGACCTCGGACAGGCCGATACGGTGGCCGGAGAGGACGCGGTCGAAGCGGCGATCGCCATGGCCGATGGCATGGAGCTCACGGGTGCACGCGAAACAGGGTCTAGAAGCCGTGAAAATCGAAAATAATGGCATGGGAAGGTAGAGGGAAGCAAGGGGGTTCTCACCGTGGGGAAAAATGGGCGGAGACGGCTCGGGGACGGCTGTCCGCGCGGAGGGGCGGATGGCGATCCCGGCGTGGCAGTTTTGGCTTCCTCGTGCACAGGCGAGCGTGGAATTTGAGCGGGGACGACAGCAGGGAGGGCGGCGGGGGTCACGGCTCCATTTTAAAGAGGTAGGGCGTGGGGGGGGGGTGAAGGATGCTCCCACGTCTGAAGTGGGCGCGGCAGCGGTTGCGCCTTGACTGGCTTGACCGAGCGCGGGGCGCGGAGGTGGTGGACGGCGTCGACAGGCGGGCCCAGGGCGGTCAGCGGCTGGGCGTGAGCGGCAGTTGAGGAAGGCAGCGCGGCTTTGGCTGGGCCGTCCCAAGAAGGAAAGTAGGAGGAGGCGAGCAGGCCGGGGAAATTGGGCCAGCAGGCCGGGCCAGGCCGGCGGGGAAAGAATGGCCAGCAGGCCGAATTGAGGAAGAGAAAGGGAGGGAAAAATATTTCCTTTATCTTTTTCCAAATCAATTTTTCAAATGATTTTTTATTTCTTTTAATTTAAATCAAACCACTCAACATATTAAATAAAATGCTCCAGCATGAGTGCATCAACATGTATATATCCTTATGATGGATTTTAATTTCACAAAAAATATTATTTTCCTATATTTGAATGCACACATAATAACATAATTAAATCAAATTTTACTTATTTTAAAAGAATGATTTTTTTGGAGTGTTACAATTCTACCCCCTAAGATGATTCTCGTCCTCGAGATTCAGATGATTGCTTACTCAAATAGTTGGGGATAAGACTTTCGCAATTCCTCTTCTCTTTCCCAAGTAGCCTCATCCTCTGTATACCGATTCCACTGTACCTTGCACATCTTTATAGCTTGGCTCCTTGTAACTCTTTCTACCGTCTGTAAGATCTTTATTAGATACTCTTCATATGTGAGATCTTCCTTAACAGCAAGTTCTTCTAAAGGATTCTGCTCTTCTGGTACTCGCAAACACTTCTTTAATTGAGAAACATGAAACACATCGTGCACACCTGACAAACTCTCAGGCAATTCCAATTGATAGGCTACTTCTCCACGTCTCTCTAGGATCTTAAAAGGTCCAATATACCATGGTGCCAACTTTCCCTTCATATTGAATCTTTTCACACCTCTCATTGGTGACACCTTCAAGTACACATAATCTCCAACTTTGAAAGTCAGTTCTCTTCTGCGAGTATCAGCATAACTCTTCTGTCGGGACTGAGCCACTCTCAAGTTGTCTCTAATCATTCTCACTTGTTCTTCCGCGTCTCTAAGGACATCGGGTCCAAACACTTGAGTTTCTCCAGTCTGATTCCAGAACAAAGGCGTTCTACATTTACGCCCATACAGTGCCTCAAAAGGTGCCATTTTGAGACTCTTCTGGTAACTATTGTTGTACGAGAACTCAGCATATGGTAGACTCTTATCCCAACTAGTACCATACTGCAGTGCACAAGCTCTCAACATATCTTTCAAAATCTGGTTGATCCTTTCAGTCTATCCATCAGTTTGTGGGTGGTAAGCAGAACTGAAATTCAACTTTGTCCCCAAAGATCTATGTACTTTCTGCCAGAATTGCGACGTAAACTGAGTGCCTCTATCAGACACAATCTTCTTGGGAACACCATGTAAGCACACTATCCTTTCCATGTACAACTCTGCTAGCCTTGCACCTATATAGGTGGTCTTGACTGGTAAAAAGGGACCAACCTTGGTTAGTCAATCCACTATTACCCAGATTGAGTCATAACCTCTTTGAGTGCGGGGCAAACCTATGATAAAATCCATTCCAACTTCTTCCCATTTCCATTCAGGAATCTTCATTAGTTGTAGCAACCCTGCAGGCCTTTGATGCTCACCTTTCACTCTTTGACAAGTGTCACACAAAGCCACATACTCTGCCACATCCCTCTTCAAACCATACCACCAATACATTTCCTTGAGATCCAAATACATCTTGGTATTTCCGGGATGTATAGAATAAGCAGACTCATGTGCCTCTTGTAGAATTGCATCACGGATAGCCTTCACTTCAGGTACACATATCCTTTTCCCGAACCAAAGAGTACCATTCTCATCCATCCTGAATCCTGGTGCCTTTCCAAGCACTATATTCTCTGCTATCTCCTTAAGTTTTTCATCCTCCAATTGACCTTTGCGTATCTCTTGCTCCAAAGTGGGCTCTATCACCAATTCCATTGCATTAGTGACAAGGCTCAAGTTGAGATACTCCATTTCAGCACACAACTCTACTGGCATAAATGTCATCCAAAGTTCATTGGCATAACTCTTCCTGCTAAGTGCATCAGCCACGACATTTGCTTTTCCCGGATGATAATGCACTTCCAAATCATAGTCTTTGATCAATTCTAACCAACGACGTTGTCTCAGATTCAGATCTAACTAGGTAAAGATATACTTCAAACTCTTGTGATCTGTATAGATATCACTCTTATGCCCAATTAAATAATGTCTCCAGATTTTCAAAGCATGAACCACAGCTGCCAATTCCAAGTCATGAGTAGGGTAATTCAACTCACGCT